GTAGTGTAGAAATAGCTTGTTGTTCATGTATACTTTCTTATTAAATTTAATAAGCACTCGAGGATTATATTTTGACTGCTCATCTCCTAGCCATTGACCCTTTCCCTGAAAAATAACCATTGGGGGAACCCAAGCAACCCCATCCACAAAAACACACAAGACCAGCGATGCCTGTCTTTTATTCCACCTACTCTGAAAGGACTTCGCCCAGACAGTTTTCTCTCCTCTTATCTTGTATGTTTTACCATTAAGGTATTCAAAAGGGATTGGAGTCTCATCCAAATTGCAAATATTGGAGAGCTCAAAGCAGTAGACTGAATGGCGGAGGACAACATCGAGAAACAGGTTTAGAGCAGGCTGGGAGTTCTGTCAGTTGAATCACAACCAGTTAACTACCAGCGCTTGATATTCTGCCGGTATCTTTTGTACTTTTTCATAATACATCTTAAGTTAATTTTGTATCGCTCAAGGAAGCCCGCAAACTACCTATTGCTAAACCGAGAAAGCTCAGAACTAACCTCTAGGTACAGCTCACGGAATTGAAACATCGCCTGTACTCAAAACTACCTCCTCCATACGATTCTTCCCTCTTTCCTCCATACCCTAAAGTCTTTGAAGAGCTTTTCTTCTAACTCTGACCACCAACATAGGCTTACCCCCTCCTCTGATGGGACCTGAGCAGTTGAGTTAATCCCAATCCCCTCAACAGCTTTTTGTTTTTTTACCCACTTCCCAATTGTCAACCAGGGAATACTATACAGCTCTGACGCTTCTTGCTATGTTGGCTTTCGGTAGTGGTTTTGCTTTACAAGTGGGACTCAGTAGTGTTCAAGGAAGGTCAATGCTTGAATCTTTTGGTGCTGGCTATAGGTATGCTTAGGATGAAGTACTGGCTTTAGGTCTTGCTTGTGGAGGATATGCTGGCTAATTGTTTTCACTTTAGGTCCTCATCGTGTTTTTTTTGGTTTTGTTGGAGCCATATTAGTATGGATACTTCGCTTCACTCAGAATGAGTTAAAAAAAACAGATAGATATTGACTTTACAATCTAGAAACTAGATACTACCTATACTTCTCCTATCCTTCCCTTGTTTGTATACAGCTTGATATTTCTTTCTAACTTACTAGTAAAAGGCAAGTACCAGACAGATTCACTGGTGGACTCTAGGTAAGACACTGTGAGTCTAGTACCTCTTTCCCAGGCATGAGAAATGGTGACAATAGTCTTCTCTCCGCACTCTATAGATTCATAAAGAGTCACTTCAGAACTCATGATAGTTCTGTAATCATTGGAATGCTTTGGAATACGAGCCTTTTCATCTTAAACACAGGATGAATGACTGTTTTTTATATCATCTGTGTGCAAAAATCTAATTTCGGGATCATTGCTTATCACTGGTTCTTGTCAATCACCCTCAGCTAACCACAAACAGCAGTAGCGGGATCGCCTGAGATGCCGGATTTCAAGAGTTTTTACGGTAGCCATGATTGAAATAAGAGTGGGCGTGTAGATTTACTCCTGGCTGCTGAAATAGGCTAGCGGTCAAAATTCCGGGCGGGTAGCCCAAGTTGGTGGTGATCGGGCACCGGAAAAATACCCTGGCAGCCGTGAACCGGCAGCGCTAATGAGCCATGAATTTCGGCCACAAGGTAAGGGATAGGATAAGGGTAGGAACTCCTTAACCAGCAATAAATTTAACTGGTTAACCTCAAATAACTGTTCCATAACCTTGTACTCACCTTTTGTCTTCAGACAATGGTTTTTCATTATTTCACCCTACCCATATCCACTCCACAGTATATTTCAGCACAGCAGTGTGTAGATTGTACCACTTGTTTCACTCTCACCAAAATTTTCACTTTTTGATCTTTAATACCTCTCATATGCAAGACTTAATTAAAAAAAACCCCCCCCACTGGACTCTTCTCCTTTCCAGTAACCCTGCCTCAGTGGTTTTTTTTAAAAGAAATCTGTTGTTATTATTAACTTATTCAAGATCGCATTTGGCCTGTTTTGAGGACCTGCTTTGTGTCACTTTGCACCATACGAGGGACGGCACAACTTCTGGTGCCTCGGACGAGGGGTGGTGTCGTTATGTCCGGCTAGTCTAATTAGTGTACTCGTATCGTACTGTACTGTACGGATGGACGGTATGTGCCGGTTCGGTATGGTGGTAATCAGTGACGAGGTTTAGGGTTATCGTTATGGTAGGACAGTCGGGCTCACTGTGCAGTGCTGTACTAGTACTGGTACTGGTGCCGTACTGTGCTCGAGTAGAATACCGGTACTTTGCGCTCGGGGCTTTATACTTCTCTTGGAAAGAGGTTATGCATTTATTCGTACGTTCATATTATACTATAGCATCATGGCATGCAGTAGATAGCACACAATTCACAGTGGTGACCGCGGGATGTGCAGGTACAAGTACCACTGAGTTACCGTTGATGGTAAAATTTCCATTCGGACGGCATGGCACTGCCAATCGAGCATTCTTCGAGATTTGCTATATGCAGCAGCATGATACAGGAAGCACCGTCGTTTTATAATACAGGAAGAAGTGAGTGCGGATATAAAATTCGATATAATAAGAATGGATGGGGAGCAGAAGCTATAACAGTGGGGTACAGCAGGTCTTCGGCAAGCCGAGATTAGCGCGGCATACGGAGCCTGAATCCCCCCACCCTTCAGCTCCAATCAAGACAGGACAGAATCCGCCGGATACGGCAGAGCACAGCGCAACAAAACACGACTGCCAGCGGCATAAGAATAAATAAATAAAAAAGCCTGCCCACCGATAGCATAGCAATGAAAAAGCTATGGCAAAAAGAATTATAGAAAATGACACCAGAAACACCGCAACACCGTCGTAATATGAACCTCGAAAGACGAAAACGAAATGGCCCACGCTTCCCCTCCCCTCGGACCCTACTCTTATATCCCCCCTCACTCCCTCTCCCTAACCTCCTCCAAACACCCTTCGCAAAAGCAATAAACATCCTCCTCCTCCGCACACCCCGAGCACACCGTCACATCGCAAGAATCGCACCGCCGCGTGCACACATAACACGTAAACCCAGCACACCTGCCGCAATTTGTCACGGTAGCGAATGAAGTGGCGAAGGACTGGACTCTGGAGCAGACGTGGCAGCGGGGCCTTCCCCCCTCCGCCGCTACTACCGCTCTGCTCAGACTTAGCGGCACTTCTGCCGGGTTGTCTTGGGAGGTGTGCATGCAGTCGTCGTAGTCCTCCATTTCTACAGGAGGAGGGGAGGAAGCTCGGAGGCGCTTTAGCTTTGGGGTTGCAGTTGAGGAGATGTGGTGGGAGAGTTTTGGTAGGGTTGATTTCAGCCTTTGGGGGGTGGTTGTGGTGGTGAATTTTGAGGTGAGGAAGAGGGAACGTTTTGGAGAGTGGGTGGTTCGGGATGAAGAGGATGCTTGGTGTGATTGCGCCGTGGCAGTGGTAGTTTCCCAGAGGAGTTTTAGATCGTTTGGTGCTTCGGTTAGGAGGTCCCCCAGCCGGCGTTTTCGAGCGGTGGACGCTGCGAGGAAGGATGAGGCTTCTGGGCTTTGAACCATTGTTTTTTTTCTTTATTTGGAACGGAATTGCTGCGGGTGTCGTCGGTTTGAGCTGAGTCCGTGGTGTGATGTGTAGTTTAACTGTGGTAGAATTAATTGGGCAACCCCGTGGCTAATTTCTTGGTGGATGGAGGATGGAAGCCGCGGGTAATACGATTGTAGCGTGGAAGGAGTGGGTAAACACCTCCTGCGTGTTGTCGTCGTTGTTGGCGAAGAAGAATGGGCGGCGACGATGATGATGATGATGGTGATGGTGATGATGATGATGATGATGATGATGACGGAGGATCACAGGTAGCAACAGTGGAGAGACAGAAGAGGGAACAAGAGGAACAGAAGGGAAAGCAGGGGAATTTCAAGCAAGCAGGGTGGGTAGTCAGCAATTAGCGGCCGGAAGGTCTCAGAAATGCGTAAACGGAGCCCAGTGATAATTTCAAGCGCAGTTCTTGGATCTCCTCCTGTTCGAACACTTTTACCTAAAGGAAAAATGAAATAGAATACAATCGAGACCCCCCCAAAATTACCGTACCGGTGCTCTAGTTCGGGAATCCGCTGAGTCAGTCAGCTCAATTCAGCAAGCCCACCACAATGCATCGGGAGTCCAGATCGCCTCCTCTCTTCCTACCAGATCCTCCCCTTCCTTCTCGTGCCTTCGTCTACTTCCTCCTAGGGTAGGGGTCTACCCTAAACGACCGGTTTCAGTGGTGGACACCCTCCAAGACACACGCCTTCCATCGCTCCGCTTGGCCCTCCTCCGTTCCACTGGTTAGGGGCGAGAACCCCACAAGCCTCTCTGTAACATTCTTAAGCCACGCATGCTGGCATGAGTGAAGTGTATCTTTTTACAGCTTTCCAAAACGGTAGGCATCAGTCAGTAGGGGCGCCCCAAGCCAATGGCCCATCGGGTGGATGAACGCATTTGGTTCCGGGAAGGATACATATCGGCTGTAACAAGAATTCACAAACTATCACTCGAGGAAGTTTACACGATCCGATTGGCCTGACGGATGCAGTACCGGCATCCGTCCGGGGGAGAGAAGGGCAACTCGATAGCTCTGTAACATGTCACTGTTGGGTGAGTGCGGAACAGATATTGGATTGGTGGAAGGGCCCTTCCCAGCGTGTTTCATCTCCTGTAGGGAGAGGACGGAAGGACCTACGACTCGAACATGTTTTCCACCTGCCACATGGACTCTCTCCCACGCAGCGCCCTGCCCCATATGTGGTAGGTGTGCGGGAACAGGAGTCCATCCCTCACAGCTCATCACTCGAGTGGTCCAATGAGGCTCAAGCTCAAGCATCCAGCCCAATGTCCATCACGTGGTCCCCTGCTTCGGGCCCGTCTTGGACTCTTGGCAACAACCAACTGTCGAGAGCCCCGTCGTCACTGCTCGAGTACTCGAGTATGTGAATGCTCCCTCCGTGCAAACCTCGCCCTGACGCTTAATCTCCGAGCAGCAAAGGTTAGACGAGTAAGGCTACGGTGCAGCAAACAACGGACTACAAGAACGACCTCCTTCGCTCCATTCCCCCGTTCAATCTTCAATGACCCTGCTTCGCAATGTCTTCACCACAGCAAGGAGCTTATAAGCCGCGCACGAAGAAGCCGAAGGCCACTCGCTCCGTCTCGTTTTCCCTGCCTGCTCTACCGTTTCCCCTGGCCTCGTTTTTGCACCCGCTTCGCTCGGCTTCGTCCCAATGGCTCGTTCTGCCCGTGCTACTTATGGTTTCGATTCTGTTCCGATGGGCCGTTGGGTTGGGCTCTTATTCCGGTGGGCTAAGCTGTCCTGTTTCCCCGTGGTCCCGGGGGTATTCTTCTCTTTTCGCTGACGGAGGGACATGTAGGAATGGCGGCACCACCGATGCACGGTGACTTTGAGGCTCAGAGGCACTGGATGGAAGTCACGACGAACCTGCCCACGAAGGAATGGTACTGGCATGATTTGGAGTGGTGGGGGTTGGATTATCCTCCACTCACGGCTTACCATAGCTGGCTTCTTGGAGTAATGTGTGAATCCACTCGATCACGTGCTGGGGGCTATCAGGCTGATGAAGATGTGGTCTAGTGGCGGGATGATCGATCCTAATTGGTTTGTGCTTTTCGACTCTAGAGGATTGGACGATGTCGCGTTGAAGACCTTCATGAGAGCTACTGCGTTGGCCTCCGAGCTCCTGACCTATGTGCCGGCGGTGGTAATTTTTGTCCGGATCTTTGGCAGGCAGGCGGACTTGAGCAAATATGATAAGGTATGAGGGTACGCGTTTATTGGGGGCTTCCGGAGGCTAACATTGATAGGGGGTCGCTCTTGCGGCGATTCTTATGCAGCCGGCTCTCATGATTATTGATCATGGACACTTTCAGTAAGCCGACATCTTTGCTGAGCTTGCTGGCATAGCTTTCTGACGCCTGCGGCCCATCGATAGGTACAACTCGGTCATGCTTGGATTTGCTCTTTCAGCGGTTGATTGCTTTATTACCGATCACATTTACTGGGGCTCGTTCTTCTTCGTCCTGTCCTTATCCTTCAAGCAGATGGCGCTTTACTACGCACCCGTTATCTTCGCCTATCTTCTCGGACTCTGTGTGCATCCCAACATCAACATTCCAAGACTCATGCTTCTAGGAGCCACTGTCATTGTCAGTTTTGGTCTTGTGTTTGCGCCGCTGGTAGTCTTTGGAGGAAAGGAGCAGATTGCCCAATGTCTGTTCCGTGTGTTTCCATTCGCCAGAGGGCTCTGGGAAGACAAGGTCGCAAACTTCTGGTGCGCCGCCAATGTACTCGTCAAGTTCCGGGAGAGGTTTGATTCGGGCTTGCTCCAAAAAACTAGGTAGGATATACTCGCCCTTCCGCTTTAGCTCGACTAATATTATTTTGTAGTCTCGTTGCCACATCAGTGGCGATCCTCCCACCCTGCTTGATACTGTTCTTCAATCCCCAAAAGAGGCTGCTACCATTGGGACTTGCGGCTTGTGCATGGGGTTTTTTTCTGTTTTCGTTCCAGGTCCACGAGAAGAGTGTTTTGTTGCCATTGGTGCCCACCACTCTCGTGCTTGCCGGAAATCTGGACAAGAATACTGTTTCCTGGGTTTCGTGGATGAACAACGTTGCTATGTTTAGGCGGGTCCTGCCAATTTCCTTAAGGTGTGCTTGTTCACTAACTTGTGTAACCAGCATGTGGCCATTACTCCGCCGTGACGGACTCCAACTGCAGTACGCTGTCCTCACATTACTCTACGCCTGGCTAATGGGCACCTTTGAGCATCTTCCAAAACACTGGTTTGGAAAGTTAGTCCACGTGGGAAGTTATATTGCCATCCTAGTCATTCATCTTGCGGAAGCCTTCTTATTCAAAGGCCTTCTACGTGAATACCCAGACCTATGGGTGGTGGTCAATGTTGAGATCTCCTTTGGCTGCTTCACTGTGGCTTGGGTGTGGGTCCTCTGGCGACTCTGGAAAGAGAGCAGAAAGGGAAAGAAGAAGCCAAAGAGGGAATAGGGGGGTAGGGAAGCGATAATAAATTATTCCCCCCCCTTTTCCCCCAATACCGGTACACTTTAAAGTAGATCTAATTGCATTGGGCCGGCTTACGGAATAAATGAATAATAAATAAATGAGCTATAGCAAAGTAGAGGAGTTGAACCAATAATACCCGCTTCACACTGCCATTCCTCTGGGGTTCTCGTGAAATAGTAGTCTATATATCGTACAGTGCACTCTGTCCTCCTCGCTCCCTCTCCAAAGATCTAATCCCCCCCCCAATCGTATCGTACAATCTATGTGTGCCGTGTAGCCCCTCCATCTAAACTTTGAACCCGAACCCGGCCATGCAAGCTTTGTACGCCGCTACCTTGTCAAGACACTTGGTCTCCGCGTCCTCCGTGAGAAGGAAGCATTCGTCGCGCGAGGCCTTTTCGTCCTTGCATACGCCTTTGTCGAACAAATGTCAACTTTAATCAATTGCCTCGTCAGGATGGGGTGGGCCCGGGTTCGGGTACGTACAGCAGGGCTTTGGAGCGGGAGGGGTGGACTTTTGGACGACGTTCTCTGTGGTGGTGAGGGGGGACTGTCAGCTGGAGCCAGAGGTATTGACTGGGAGGTAACTTGCCTGTTCCGGATACCACGGGGATGGAGGGCATTTTTTTTGAAGTCTGGAGGTTGGATGTGCAGTCGTAGTAATAGTGGAAGAGAAGAAGAAGAAGAAGAAGAAGAAGAAGAAGAAGGAGATTGGTTGGTAGGTTGTTGCGGAAAAGATCTATACATTATCAATATATCATAGAAAAACTAGACGCTGGGAGGAGGGATTATTAATGCAGGAGCACACAATACCGGTATCGTACGCTGTTACGCGGGATTACCCGGTTTGTAAGACGTTGCCGCATCATAGTACTCGTAGTATCATACTGTCGAAGCTCGGACGTTTTTCTTGTATTTGTGTGTGACTTCATGATCAGCATGAGCGAGAGCTTATAAATTTCCCCTCCCTCCCCCCTTCCTCCTACCCCCACCGACCCACCGACCCACCGACCCAATTCACCCGACGAAAGACTGGTAGGGGAGAAAAAAACAAGAATAAGAATAACAAAAATGGGCAATTCAAAATCCACCCCGATCAACAACCCCTACACCGGCCTCCCACGGGTCCCCACGGCCACCACGGACCCCTCCGCCTCTAGCGATAAGCGCGACAGGACACTAACCCACCTCCTACGGCTAAACCACCACAACCACACCCTCCTGTACTCGCAGGAGCTGCGCTTCCACAACCACCTCCCGCACGCCCTGGGCAGCGCCTACCTCCTCGGCGCGCCCAGCGAGCACCTGACGAAGCTGTACGAGAGCGAGAGCGAACCGCTGGAGCCCTGGCCGCCCACAACGCCCGGTGAGATCGCGCGGGACCACTGGCGCGAGCACGTCTCGGACCGCCGCTACCAGCGCGCCTACCTGGACTTCTTCGAGGATGAGCTGGTACGGCTCGGGTACGACTGGCGGAGGGTCGTGGCGGAGTACCTCTTCCGCGGACCGGAACCGCTGATATTCGGCGGGATGGGCGGGCTGGGTCACCCGCTCATACACCTCGGCTACGCTTTCGAGCTTGGGAGCAAGGAGGTGGGGATGGAAGCTCTGTCGCTGTTTGCGACGAATTATAATCTGCTGCATGGGTATTTTGATGTGGAGTTTTCCACTGCTGGTGGTGATGGTGTGCCGGCTGATGGCTCGTCCCTTACTACTACGACGACTGCGTGCGTGTGTAGCGACCCGTTGGAGATAATCGGCAGGATTGGGGCGGATCCCGCCTTCCGTGGCATATTCTCCCACCCCGGTTCGGATAATATCGCCCTTCTGCTCCAACTCCGGGAGAAGGAGGTGCTCGCCTACTACCACCAGTTCGAGATCGTGTCCCCCGCCGATGCCCACAAATCCTTGAATCGCCTCGCTGCGCTACTGCTCACTTGCTCGCACGATCCCGGCCGGCCGGAGTTCGACTTCTTCGTCGTTCACCTGACCACAGTTTCCTACGCCATCCGCACCCTGCTGCCCGAGGCGCCGGAGGAGTATGCGCTGCCGCTGGTCAAGATGCACTGGTTGTTCATCATCGTGGTCTACGTGGCTCAATTGATGAGGGGGGTGCGGCCGGAGTTACTGGAGGGGGTGGATCTGCGTGGGAGGGGGTGGGCGGATGTAGTGCACAAGGCGCTGGATAGGGGAGAGGGGAGTGGAAGTGGCGGGAAGATGGAGGATGCGCACTATTTGAAAGGTATATTTTCCCTGCCTCTCCCTATACATACTTCCTCTCCCAAAACCCTTATGGGAGGAAGCTGGCTGATGGCGAGGATAGCGGTGAGGGCGTTGAAGGACTCGGCACAGCTGTGGAAGGATCAGGAAGAGTTTTACCTGAAGGCTGCTGTCAAGTTTGCTTGGGAGTTTGAGAGGTGGTCTTTTGGGAGTGAGGAGGGGCATAATTGATTGATTTGTTCATACCCATTCTAGTATTACCTCTTGTTGGGCATTATTTTTATGGCGTTTCATCGTGGAAATCTTTGCTCCCATCGTTAAACACCAAGCAAGCCTGCCACTCTTTTTTCACATCACAAAAACTCACTCGCCTTGGAAGGCAATGAGGGAAAGAAAGGGAGAAAAGGTTTCTGAAGGATGTATATACACAACAGTAAATCTAAACATCTCTAACATACCCGTAATCACCCTCACCCTCGGACCTAGCGCCCTGAAACCTCTTACCGAGCACACGAAACTTGCTCAAGAAGGCATCGGTATCGACATACGCCCCCTTCAACCACCTCTCCCCGCTGCTGGGATCAAACGCCCTCCTGGCATGCAACACCCTGCGATTAGCGAAAACAGCGCACACGCCCTCCCTCAGCGTGACGTCGAACTGCGCTTTCGGATCACCCACGCCGTCCGCGAACATCTCCAGCGCGCGGAGGAACAGCCTGAATCTCCCCGCGAAGAGCGGGTCCGTGGGTGCGTCCTCGAACGCGGCCTGGAAGGGCGGGGAGTAGTTGACGTGCGCGATGCGTTTGTTGGCGCGGTAATCCGTGTCGTCGAGGGCCACGACGGGGTGCATGTGGTGGTAGTGGTGGCCGTCGTTGTGGTAATGGTACGGGACCGGGTACGTCAGTAGTGAATTCCAGAGTGAGTAGCTGGTCATGCGGACTGCCGTCGCCGCGCGGAAGGAGTCTGCAAAGTAGGATTCGCCGCCCGTCACCGTGTTCTTCAGGCAGTGGAGGAATTGCACGCCCGGCGGGGAGGAAAAGTATAGGAGGTCCATGTGTAGGCCCAAGTTCAGGCTCGTGTAGGCTATGTTCTTGCTCTCCGGGAGGGACTTGACGTCCCAGGTCTTTCCGTAGAATGTGTTTTTCAGGGGGCCGATTCGCTCGGCGATTCTCTCCACCGAGGACTCCTCGCTCGGTACGTTTTTCAAGAAGAACAGGCCATAGACTGAGAGGGCTTTCAACGCTCTGTGTAGCCCTTCGTCGTCGTTCGAGAAGTACTCTTCCCAGTCCAGCCACATCACGTCCCCCTCCATCACGTCCCTATCCCATAGGACCAGGCTCCTATCGTTGAACCGGTGCCGTACGATGTGCCGGTGGTCCGAGTACCTTAGCAGGAACTCGGCGCTGTAGAGGCTGGTGTGGTTTTCCCGTCGCGGGTTCGCCACTGGGATGTCGGTCTCTGGATCCCAGGTCACCCGCAGCGCACCGTCGTCCAGCGTCATTGCCGTAAGCGGCCGTATGTCCTGCGGTATGTCACTGGTTTGGAAGAGCTTCTGCCGGGTTGAGGGATCCACACAGTGAGCGCAAGCGCAGGCATCTCGCAGGAAGACGTTATCGAAGGCGTGGGGCATGCCATTTAGTATCAGGTCTACACGCTTGGTGTTGGTGAGCCGTGCGCCTTTGGCTTTCGGATCGCGGGCGATTGCGGTGTGGAGCTTAGGCTTTTTTGGTTTGTTGGTGTTTCTGTAGGTGCCGCCGCTGGTGCTGCTGCCGGTGGTAGTAGCAGTGGAGGTCGAGTATTGGAGAGTTGGGAGGAGGAAGGCTGGTGAGGTGATGGCGGTGATGCCCAGTGGGGGGAAGAATTGCGGTGTACTGCCTTGTTGGCGAGGAAGGAGTGATCGTAGTATTCGTCTAAAGGGGCTCATAGCTGATTGCTCATTCGAGGGGGAGGTTGTGACAGGGCGGTATTGGTGGAATCCCTCATCCAAAGTGCCTCCTTTTTTTCTTTCTCGTTCCCCGAGGTTGTTCAAACGGAAGACACCTTTTCGGGTCAGGTCAATGATAGGGTGTACTTTGCCCTTTTTGGAGGAACGATGATATGATATCTTCTTGGCGATGACCCCGCGAGGGGGTAAAACGCCCCTCCAGCGCTGCCGTCAATTGTCGGATGGGAGAGTGCTGTCCGAAGGTTGGAGCAGAGAGCACACCACCCGTAGAGTCGTCCTGTGAACTGCCTTTAGCTTGCCAGTACCGGTATATCAAGTCGATGCGTTGCCGATGATCACGCATATGAGCAGGTTATCGTACTGTACTGCACTGTGCCGGTAGGTCCCATTGCACTTCCATACCGATGCTTTTACACCAACCTGTGAATGGTTGATAATTGCCCGGCTGACCGAGCATTTACTCCGATCGCGCACTGAGGAGCCGCCTACATTGTGGTTCGGATCGAGTCCCACTCTCTGAGGTCCCACTCTCTGATACCGGTTCGGAGGTTCCTTATTTCTATGCCATCAACTTTGGCTGCGTGGCCCACCGATGCCGAACACCATACTGTACGAGTACTGTACCCATGGACAAGTACTCGTACAGTATCACCAGACACCGGTCATGGAATGCAATATATCCACATTAAACTTACGGTACTTGTACGAGCACAATGTTGCGGCAGGTTCGGCCTTCCCTTCCTTTCCCCTCCCCATTTCATCCCAATGGCCAAGCCCGCCCACCACTGCATATTTCAATCCCGCCAACCGCATCCAAAGAAACCCCTGCGTCCCTCAAAACCCCACACAAAGTCCTTGACCCTAAAGGAAATGCTAAAGATATAACTCGTGTGGCAAAAACGTTTTCACCCCTAGCGTAACCCGGGTTAAGCTGCGGCATCAATTCCAGAGAGAGCAATCCTAATCCACAATATACCATATTATCACGACGTTACTCGTATTTTCCCCTCCAGTTACAGTGGGCTGGAGGGAATTGGACCCCATACGATCATCAGTTCACCGGTGGTGTATTGTGTGTTTCGAGCAGCAACTAATGAGTTAACTGCGCCATTCCCCTCTCCTCTCTCCCTCCCCTTTCAAACCGTCCTCTTCCGGGGCTGACCGCTAATCCACTTCCCAAACCTCCTGCGGTCGTGGGAATCACAATCATCATGACAAACGTCGGGGGAATCGAGGATGTGAGTTATCCTTTCGTTTGGTTCTGAGTCTTGGCTGGTTGATTGGATACCTTGCTGGCTAGCTAGATCCCCTGCCTCCCCTCCGCTCCCCCATATTCTCACTGCTGCATCGCTTTCGTGTCCCCTTCCCCGAGGAGATTAGAGAGGAGAAGATTATTCCCTTCTGACAAACATGCCATCGCACAGGAAGATTCCGCTTCTGCGAAACGCGTGATGATTGCTGGAGCCTTTGCTGGTCTTGTATCACGGTATTCCTTTCTCTCCCCTCGAATAAACCGGCCCTGACTCCCCGACCTCCAGGTTCGTCATAGCCCCCCTAGACGTTATAAAGATTCGCCTCCAACTCCAACCAATCCCAACCTTCACCCCAACCACCGCCTCCTCCACCCCCGCGTCGGCGCCGCCGCCACTACCCCTCTACCGCGGTTCCCTACCCACCCTCCTCCGCATCCTCCGGGAGGAAACAATAACCGGTCTGTGGAAGGGCAACATCCCAGCAGAACTCCTCTACGTAACCTACGGTGCCGCCCAATTCCTCACATATCGGCACCTGACCTCAACGCTCGACTCGCCCTTCTACGCCCTTCCCCCGTCGCTCAAACACTTCATCTCCGGCGGCCTCGCCGGTGCCGCCGCGACCACACTCTCATATCCCTTCGACCTCCTGCGCACACGCTTCGCCGCCCAGGCCAACGGTGACCGCAGAATCTACACCTCCATCCTCCACTCCATCCACTCCATCCGCCGGAGCGAGGGTTACGCCGGCTTCTTCCGCGGCTGGGGCGCCGGGGTGGCGCAAATTGTGCCGTATATGGGGCTCGTGTTCATGACGCACGAGGCGACCAAGAAGGCCCTCCGCGACAAGCTCGGTTCGAACTCTAAAACCCTGGACGCGGTCTCGGGAGGGCTCTCCGGAGTCATCGCGAAGACGGGTACGTTTCCGCTGGACCTTATCAGGAAGCGACTGCAGGTTCAGGGTCCCACGAGGACTAGATATGTCCTTGGCGACCGGTTACCCGTTTACACGGGGGTTTGGAGGACAGCCGGGGACGTTATCAGGGCTGAGGGCGTACGGGGATTGTACAGAGGACTCGTGGTCTCGCTGGTGAAGGCGGCGCCGTTGTCCGCGGTCACGATGTGGAGTTTTGAGGTTGGCATGGAGGTGTTGAAGGGGTTAGATGAACGCGAGGGCTAGCTATCATTGTCCCTGAGTCGGGGGGATTGTAGATTTGAGATACTATTCTCTCCCCTTGTTCCCCCCCCCCCCCCTTTCCCCCTTCTCCCCTACTTTCTCTCTCACATCTACATGTAGACTCATACGATACCCGTAAACGATACATCCCCTCTCCTCCATCACAAGGCCACCCCATAGAATCCTAATCACATGGTATCACTCGGAATCATCATTCTCTGATTGTGCATGCGAGTACTGCACAATACATACCCATCTAAACCGTCACCATACCACAACTAGCGAAACCACGCCTTTGCAGCACCGAGAGAAATAGATTCATACTCCTTGCGAATGCGCAACCACTAACTAAACTTGAACAGTCCCAAGCCCCAAGAAGACGGACCTGCTATCATACCGATCGGTCAACGCGAACAGTCGAGCCGTGCCCTGGCTTTGATTTTCCTTTTTTTTTTTTTTTTTTTTTTTCGGAAAAAGTGTCCCCGGGAATGGACGAACTGGTCGGGTGTTTTTTCTTTTCTTTTCCGGAATTCGAATCGGGCATTCGCAGCGCTGAGAGGATGGGGCACGGGGAGCACAAGTGGGCAGGTGTGAACGGTCGAGTCGTCGATGAAATCCTCCACCGGATGGGGGAAGGAGAGATGGCTGGGACAAGGGACATAACTGTACGAGTACGATGGAGAATGGAGAATGGAGAATGGAGAGGAACGATTGGAAAGGGGCTACGTCCGATATCCATACCATACCGGTATCATGCCATAGCTAGCCAAGAAATTACAGGCTTAATTGATGGATCGGTAATTGAATGAGGATAATGAAAAGCGTAAACTAGATAAAAATAAGAACAATAGAATAATAACAATGAAAAAGCCAACGCCCAATTCCATCTCCCCGAGTCCTTTCCATCCCAGAACCCTCAGTTGGAGAAAAGAAGACACTAGACCAGCAAGCAAGCATGACGATGTCAGCAAGAGGGGAGAAGAAATAAGAACATACCGGTAGGATAGTAGAGCACTACCTGATGGCGAAGGGAAAAAAAGGAAAAAAAGGAAAAAAAAAGAATGAATCAACTCCATTTTATATCCATTACACTGATCGCCACCATGAATGACTTTCAGAAAAATATTATGAGAGAGAGGGAAAGGGGAAAAAGGAGAACGAAAAAAACAAAAAACAAATATGGGGGAGCAAAAAAATAAAAAAGTAAAATAAAACCGGGACAAAGAGTGGTGGATATGCGAGCACGCGGTGAAACAATAAAGTAACACACAGCAATTGCTCCATATCATTCACATCTGTTTAGCCTTCCATAGATCTCTGGACGGATCTAAAAGTGGGATGAATGGTTAGAAGTATTGCTCGAATCCTCAGTTTCTGGAATGAAACATACCTTCTTAACTTCTTGTTATACTCCCTCTTGTGCTCCTTGGACCCCCAGTAAAGCTTGGATGCTTCCTGGTTCACCTGAGTGCGGGGATCATAAGGGGGGCTCTCTTCCTCCATGAGTTGAATAATGGCGTCGATGTGATGGCGGCCCTCATCGTATCTTTGGGGGATATAACATGGAATGCCATCAGCTAGAATTGGTGAATAATCGGTTAATCGATTTCCAAAAAGGTAGAGAAAAAAGCAATCAGGGGGCACCGGTAATCATACTGGTTATTTGGTGGTGGTACAGGGGAGTCATGAATTTGGCCCTCGGCTGCTCATCCGGAAAGCGAGGGCTAAAAGCGAGGTGTATATTAAAAAGCCCCCCGTCGAGGTTCGTCATCGGTCTTCCAAAGTAAGTCTGTGTCATCATTAGCATCCGTCATCTTCTTCCGTGCAATAGAATCGACCTCACCACACGCCAGAGAAAGGGATTGTCATCCACCAGTTCTATGTCTATTGTCACAGAATCTTGCTTCTTATAGTGCTCCACGGTCTGCTCGAATTGGCGTTGCAAGTTGGCCGCGACTCCGCTCTCTTTGTCTTGCAGTATCAAGCCTTCGGCTGCCCAGCTAGCGGTTTCATGGTCCAATCTCTCCTTTACGAATTTAAGACGTCTTTCTAGCTCTGAATACAAAAACTTTCCCTCCATAGCATTTCCAGAGTGCTCGAATGGCATCTTAGTAAATTGCGCACCATCGGTAACCTTTTCACTCTCAACCTTGATGGAGGCAAGATAGGTATCATAATACCAAAGGAACCGGCGTTTACAAAGATCTTTGAAGGGCTCAAAAACTGCAGAGGCCTCCGAATCCATCATGCTCGAATCATCATCATAGATATCCTGTTCCGGAGTGATTGGTGGTGGTTGGACGGTTCCGTCAGGGTTGATGCCCAAGTAATCCTCCAGCCTAGATATAATGGAGACGCGGAGAGTTTCATGACGAATCTGGGTGGTAGAATGGTTAGATGTAAAAGAAACAAAAAAAAAAAGTCAAAACGCAGATACCAACGATTGCCATACCTTGAGAACATAAGATTTCTGATTCTCCTTATCGTGTGGCTGGTTTGCATTCTCAAATCCAGGCTCATTTTCGTACGGATTAGAAGACATGAGGCTCTGGATTGAAATCAGAATTGATTCCAACCCCTGCGCAGAAGACCATTCTTCACCACGGTCACCTCTCCAGGTACTAAATCGTAGCAATAAGCGTCCAATACAACTCGCAGAGAGATCAATCAGGCAGCACGTCTTACCCAAGAATCGACCTAGGGGGCCAGGAAAGCCAGTCAAGTCAGAAGAGTTCCTCAGATATGAGCACGTGGGGGCGGATGGTGACGTACAGACAAACTTTGCCAGCGGCATATATATTTGGATTAAATCGGCACCTTCCAGAGTTAGTGGTGAGTGCGGTGACGGTCGGGGCCTTGGTGGGGTAGTCTGCGGCGCAGGTAAGTTTGACGATCAACGGGGGGGGGGAGCCTGAACTTGTGGGCTCGGGTTCGGGGGGAAATCAACCTCTGCTGAATTTCAGAGCAAACTATCGGATGGGAAAATGTCGTCAGTTACATATACGCAACAGAGCTAGCGACTGTCCAACACCTGTGAACGGATCCACTCGCACTGCTAACTGACCTCAAAAAAGCCAAACTCATAGGGAGTATCAGGTGGTCCTAATATGGTAGCCTTGACATTACGAACATCGGACTCCCTACAGGCCACGGCAATGGCTGATGGAAATCTTGTGTCAGCGCAAAGCTAGCAGAAAGCTGCAGTCGGGATCCTGGAGCTTACACAGATCGTTTGATTTCCTGATCTCGTTGAGCTCCTGCGGGGTGGGGTTAATGAGGGGTTCGTCTCGAAAGTTTGGAGCTCTGATTGCAACTGACCCTAGTCAATCGGATAACGGATTGGTTCATGTCTGCGATGACGGATGCACAATCCGAGCCGAGGGTGGAGGGACTGATTGAAAATGAGAGGAGGAGCAGAGAGGGTGCGGTGAGCAGTGTTGCGGGGGTGCAGAGGTGAGGGAGTCAGGAGTGCGAGGTGAAAGCGTGGAGGATCCAGTCTACGATAGGGCAGGGCAGTAGGGTAAGGTTGAAGGGAGGGGGAGGGGAGGGGAGGGGAGGGGGAGGGGAGGGGGAGGCACGGTGGCAGAGAAGAACCCAGAAAGGACGCACACGAGCTCGAGTGTAAGTAGGGTGAGGTGAGAGGGCAGCTACGGGGGGACGACGAGGCGAGCACCGCTTGTGGACGGGGCGTACGTAGGCTTGGGATAAAAGTTGGAGAGGAGCAGAGAGATACCGGTACTGTATGTACTAGTACGATACGGCAGCGGCGGCAGGAGTTACTCGCGGTTTGCGTGCCTCACTCAGAGCAACTGACGGGCCAGGGGAGCAGCACCACGAAAAGCAGCAGAAGAACAGCAGGAGAAGGACAGATTTGTTGGGGAGTAGCTCCTGGACGGCTTTGATATTCACATGATCCGGCCGGCGAAAATCCGAGAGCCTCCAGCAGATGGTCTACAATGGACGTGAGCTTTCCGGTCCTCCCATCACTGAACGGCTACAAGGGCAACACACTGGAGTGGCCCGTACTGTACTGTACTCGAGTAGTAAGGGAACACGCCCCCGGTGTCCGGGCTGGGGTGTGCCGTATGGTACGGACTGTGAGGGAACTTGTCCTCCTTGTTCTCCCTGCTGGTCCCGTCCGTCATTGCGGCTGCAATCCCATAGGACAGGGATGACAACCTCTTGGCGCATGACAAAGACGATACTTTCCTTGATTGCGTTACCGTGCTGCAGAATCTCTCTCCCAGTGGAGAGGCCCCTGGGCCTGGTGGTGCGGACCGTTCGTTCCACTGTTCCAGAGACCTACCTGGGTAGATGTCTGTGAAAAGCGGCTACGATAGGTGCGGCACTCTCCCCAGTGCCGGGTGCTGTACGGGTACGGTGGTCCCTTTATCGGGATAACACTCTTCCATTTCCTGAGATATATTGAGCCTGGGGACCGCTCTCTGGCCGGTGGCCTGCCCTCCCTTGACCTCTGTATCTGTTCCTGGCCTTGTCGGCCTGGGCGTGGGGAGGTTTGAAATGATCATTACGGGCACGAGGACGAAATCCCATAGGCTGATGATGATTTGAATGGAACCGGTCCAACTGTGTGCTCAACCGTGTTCCAGGGAGGCTGTTAAGGAGCCGGCAAATTTTATCCGCCATACTGTATCTGGGGGCTGGCTTTACCGTGTTGGTATGGCTGATGCTAATATAGGTAATTTTCATTGTTGGCCCACTGGACGCGAATATGTTCATCAACTGGGGCCGATGGAATCTCCCTGTTTGGTTTTTGTGGCTCCTGTCTGCAGTACGGCAGGCTAACTCTATCACACCAGGCACGATCTCATACGGGTACCGTTCCATGTTTTAAATACCCTACGGTACCGTAGTCCTCGTTGGGAGGTTATCGACTAATTGGTATCGCATCCTGTGTACCGGTGGAGGAGCAGCCATCTTTTGTTCATCTGGATCCTGGAACGGTGCTCAGGGCTTTGCGTGAACCCCGCCCGAGGAATTTTGAAGATCGTGTCTTCCTGATGGGATAATAAATATAATACCGGTAATATGATATGTGCGTGTGTGTGTGTGTGCATAAGTCCACGGAATTTTGGCTCTTGCTGGGCTTCGAGGGAAACACTCTCTCCCTCTCTCTCTTTTTTCTCCCTCTCTACCCTCACAGTTTCTATTGTGGGAGAATCGAGATTGGACTTTGGCCACCGGAAGCTTACATACTCCCATTCTCTCCAACTTGCCCGGAAACAGAATAAAAATGTGGTTGCTCAATGGCCATCATACCATAGATTGATACAATGCCTGCTTGTAGATATTTTTGGCTCTCCCCTCTACTCGGGTGCATCGCTATCTCTTTACCTTTAACAGTATGACACTCGCTCGCGCGTTACAGAGCCCTTCCCTCACCCTTGTCCTCGCTGAACGTCAGGCCTGTTGCTAGCTCCATTTCAGGGTCTCATATACATAGTTTGCGGTAGTCTACCCTCCACTCCCACCTCCACCTCCCCACAACCGTACGTACAGTAATAGCTACCGCACTTGTCGTGGAGCGCTGCCCTTAACATAGTGCCCTGGTCGTCCCCTCTGTCCCTTTTTCTTGTGCCCGCCTCGACTCGCTGTCCGTCTCGCTTTGCTTGTGCCCTGTAAAGACAACCCAACTTCCCACACAAAATCTCTTCCCCCCCCCCCCCCCGAAAGCGAGAATAGCCACCTCAACCACACACTCTCTCACGGTCCTTCAAACCTTCACCCACTCCTGCTCCACCAGTAGGAACGGTATCGTGCTCTTTACCTCCGAATACTGCACATTATCGCTCTCGGGGCAAAGGGAGCAAACCCTTTACCTGGCATCGTCTAGCATCGCCTCTGCATTGCACGTTCATTCCATTTATTTATCCTTCACCCACCCCCCCGCTCGTTTGGCGTGTGCATGGGCTATCGTCGCCGAAGAAGGCTTGTCACCGGTTCCCTTGCTACTCCATCACCACCACCACCACCACCACCACCACCCCTTTCTTCCCCCTGGTCGTGTGCAAAATAGCAACATTTAAGGTTCGGTCATTCTACTTTTTGGCGGGGAAGATTCGTGTAGCCTCTCCATCTTGCCGTGATCCAATTACTGCGGTCGCGACTCCTACCCTCCTCTAATCTTCATCCGAAGCTCTGCATCTTCTCTGCTGTTCCGTGTACGGCTTCGTCGTTTCGGTCTGCCCTTGAAAACAACCGCGAAAGGGCATTCCAACTTTCTACCCCTCATCCCCCCAGATTACGGTTGATCTTGCTACGGGCAATTTCTCCCCTGGTTTTAAATTTTTTCACATGTCTCACCCGTCGGATGGACGTCGGTCTAGTGATTCTCGACAACCCCTCCCTCCACTGACTACTGACCTATTGGACCCTTCGGCTTCCTCATTGCAGCAACAATTATGGGACAGACAGCCCGGCGAGCGGTCTCCTGCGACACCCGGGGGAGGTGCCGGGGGGGATGTTTCTGGCCAGGTCGGGGGTGTTAGTGGGAATGGTGGGACTGATGGCAATGGCGTTATCTCCCATGGAAACTCGCCAAAGTCACACACTCGGATATGTCAAAAATGTGGAAATGCTCTTACTGGCCAATTCGTACGGGCGTTGGGAGGAACATATCATCTGGACTGTTTCAAGTGTAGGGTGAGTATTGTTTTATATATTTTTCTTCTCCTCCTCGGGTTGGATCTGTTTTCCCCGAAAGTTTCTCAAGGGTTCTCCGCTCTTCAGGTTTTACTAACTTTTCCGCTATTCTAAGGATTGCGGTACAATAGTGGCTTCGCGATTTTTTCCGGTCGATGAGGGGGATGGCCAAGGACAGTACCCGCTGTGCGAGACCGACTATTTTCGCCGTCTGGATCTACTGTGCCATGAGTGTGGTGGAGCTTTGCGCGGATCTTATATCACTGCGTTGGAGCGCAAATACCACATCGAACATTTTACGTGCTGTGTTTGCCCAACGGTTTTCGGGCCGCAGGACTCGTACTACGAGCATGATGGAAAGGTTTACTGCCACTACCATTATTCGACCCAGTTTGCGGCAAGGTGCAATGGATGCCAAACTGCCATATTAAAGCAATTTGTGGAAATATTTCGAAACGGACAAAACCAGCACTGGCATCCCGAATGTTATATGATCCACAAGGTCAGTTCCGATCGCTTTTTGCCAAAATGGGGAAGAAATTTCGGGTTTATACCCGCGTATTCTCATCTAATTTTTTGACTTTGTTTTTCCTAGCCTTCACCCCCCACCATCTTCTACGGTCGTGAGCTAATGCTTGTCATTGGATCTAGTTTTGGAACGTGCGACTTGCGCCCGTGGATACGGGAGAGCCCAAATCTCCCACTGTCGAGGATCCTACCAACGCTCGAAGGTCTCTGGTTCGGGAGGCAGAGGAAAAAATGGAGGATAAGGTGTTCCGTATCTGGAGTGTTCTGTCGTCTTTCGAGGAATCGTCTGCCGCCTGCATTAGTGATATGCTTTTGCATGTTTCAAATGGCGCATACGTTGACGGAGTATTCGTGGCAGAGAGGTTTATCTGGCATGTTGAAATTCTGTTTGGGTCTGCGGATACATTGGACGTGCAACTTTTTAGTGTGGCTGCGAAGGGTAAGCCCTCTTATTGTGCGCGTTGTGCAGGTTGTACGGCAGTTCTCCGTAGCAGCTTAGCTCTTCGAGATACTGGTTGGCCTATTATATTTATAGATCATCAAGCTGACAGACCGATCTTGACTTTAATTTAGGTTTGACCTACTCAAGAGAGGCCAAGTTACTCTGTAAAAAGATTGTTGCATTCTTTAGTCTTCTCTCAAAAACCCAGGACACTGGCGTTCGGAAACTTGGTGTAACACAGGAACTTCTGTCACTTGTGACAGGACTCGCCCACTATCTCAAGCTTTTAATACGTATCACGTTACAAGGTGCACTGCGACTGGTATAAAACCCCGCATCCCAAAGTTTTAACGCGAAGATTGTCTAATAATAAACCACTCTCCAGGAGAGGGAGCACAACAATGTGGAAGCGTTAAGGATTTTCCTGGAAGAACTATCTGACTTGGAGACTGCTAAAGAGGGAAAACAGTCTCTTGAATTAACTCAAGGGATGTCAGAGAACCTCGCGGAAGAGAACTCAGATTTATGCGTCAACTGTCATACGACTATTGAGGAGGAGTGTGCAAAGTGCGGGGATCGCAGATGGCATATGAGCTGCTTGACTTGTTCTGGCTGTAAGCGCGAGTATAAAGGAAATTTGGAGGACAGGCTGTGGTTCCCGTCGGAGCAGCGCGTCGTTTGCCGAGCATGCGGGTCTCAGATCAATGATAAGCTCGTTCCATTCGAGCGTGCATCACGCTTGAAGCAATATGTCTACCTTCTCCGAGTAGCTCTCGCACGGCTGTTGTTGAGACTAAGACAAGGAGCAAATCTACCCCACACCTCAGGTAAGGCAATGTTCGCCCCTTCCCTGATGGGTGCCATAAGTGATTTTAATTCTTTAGCAGACGACCCCAATCTGCGGACGTATGATTCTAATGAAGGGCACAAAGTCGACCTTGACCCGCCTCTTCTTCGCTCCGATACCCGATCAAAGTCATATGGTGGAGAGCAAACGGACTCCTACACTAATACGATCAACGACATTCGGAGGTTGCGCTCCACACGTCTTGATAGGCAGCTTGGGAGCTCGGCGAAGAAGGCTCGGCAATCGCGCATTATCGAGGGACCCGAGGCTGATAGTGTACGACCGGGGTCGTCGGAAGGTGCGCCCAGTGGACAAGATAGGGACAGGCGTCGCGATACAGCCCAGTTCCGGATAGTCGAGGATCGGGATATCAACGGGGAGCATGTTGTCGAGCCTACGTTTGGCGATGATAAGATACTTACCCTAGATGATATACCTAGGATTGTTGCAGCCGAGCAAGCTCGAGAACAACGCCCAAATGCCTTTAAACACCAGAAGCACAGTCCCTACGAACCCACCCTACCGGGGCAGCCGCGTCTGATTAATGGGAACCAGAGGGATCTTTCAGGCGATATGCTGCGTGAGATGGAAGGCCCCAGAGAGCCGGGACCGCCTACGCAACTGAGGTCCGCTAAGCGCTATTTCTCGGAGTTGTCGGCCATCGACTATTTCATTGTCCGACACATCGCGGTCTTATCAATGGAACCCTTGGTGGAAGGCCATTTCAACTTGGAGGAGCTATTGGGTCTTATTGAAACAAATAAGAAGACGTTTTGGGGGAAATTTGGCAGAGCGTTTGCCCCCACTGAGAAGAAGAAAGGCGGCAAGAAGAAAGGTCTTTTCGCAGATCTCGTCATACGCAGAATTGAGGCTTTGAAGCTTACAAAAACAGGTGTCTTTGGCGTGGCGTTGGACCAACTCGTCGAGAGAGATGGCGCGGAGTCAAGTATGGGCGTCGGCCCAGGCGCCTTACGGATACCAGCGATACTGGATGATGCAGTGGTTGCCATGCGGCGGATGGGTATGATGTTTCCCCTAATTATCTTCCGTTATTCGGGCGAGGTGACTGAAGTTTTGGGTAGATATGTCCGTCGAAGGGGTTTTCCGGAAGAATGGGAATATTCGAAGGCTCAAGGAACTCGCGGAGGCGATAGATAAGGGCGAGGGGCATGTCGAGATGTCCTCCGAGGGCCCGGTCCAGATTGCCGCCCTTCTGAAGAAGTTTTTACGTGACCTTCCGGATCCATTGTTAACATTTAAACTCCACCGATTATTCGTCACGACCCAAAGTATGTATTTCACTCGAGTTTTGTTGTTGGGATCCTGTGACTGAACGCACGACACAGAAATCACCGATGAGGATAAGAAACGACGTATTCTTCACCTCGCGTGCTGTCTTCTGCCTAAGAGCCACAGGGACTCTATGGAAATTCTCTTCTCCTTCCTTAACTGGGTTGCATCCTTCTCGCACATCGACGAAGAATCAGGCAGTAAGATGGACATTCATAACCTAGCAACAGTAATCACGCCCAATATCCTTTACTCTTCAAAGAAAGCGGAAGCTGGGATGGATGACAGCTTTTTGGCGATTGAGGCTGTGCACACATTGATACTGTGTAACGAGGCTATGTGTGAGGTGAGACCTTCGTCCATCCGTTCCGATCTTTGATAGAATACCGTTGACATGTCTTAAAATAGGTCCCCGAAGATTTGCTGTCCATACTTAATGACACAAACCTGTTCTCCCACGGCGCCGACGTCACCACGAAGGATATCCTCAAACGTTATGGGGACCTGGTTAACAAACCAACTCCTGCTCGAACCCCCCAGGCCACGAGTTCGCCACCAAAATCCAAGGATGGTCGGCAACCTACTACACCGGTATTTCACCGCGTTGATACCGATCCCTCTCAGAATGTTGCCTGGCAGAAGGAAACTGCTGCACGCCATGTCGGAATGCCCTCCCAACAACAGCAACAACAGGCACCGCTAGGAGGGCCAAGTGGAAACAGTGATCCCAATCAATATCACCGACGCCACGGGCGTGGGGGTTCTGGGTCCAGCCAGGATGATGGGCTGGGGCAGAATGGTCAACAGGGTGGCCAAAACGGGCAAGGCAATCCGGATGGCCATGGGGCTCTGGGTGGACAAAACGGCTACACGGACAATCGACATCCCCAACATCAACAGCAACAGTGGGGCAGAAGACCAGAGAACCAATCTCGATCACAGCCATCGCAGGGACCTGGCGTTGGCGTAGCGAGACCGGCTGGGAGCGTATAAAGCGGGGGCTGGCACATAGGGTGTAGAAGGGAAAACCGAGTATTTGGTCAAGGGAGGAAAAGTATTTTATTTTCAGAGAGTATTCTTTGGCTTCGTTTAATCCGCCTCTTTTTTTCTTTTTTTTTTTTAATCAAAATAACTTGCCCGTTTCCTCCATTTGGGTATCTTCGTTCTCCCGACTTGGATTTTTTCTTCTTTTTCTCCACTTCTGGTTTGGCAATTTATTCTTTTCTTTTTCTCTCACGGGGGTTTTTTTTTTATATTTTATTACAAGGCTCAGCTTTTTTTTTTTCGCGTGCAGGTGAAATTATTTCTTCTTTATCTTCGTTGTGATATCCATTGATTGGTTGCTCGAGCCTTGCTCGCTTGGTTGCTTATTTGCTTGTTCGTTGTTCTCAGACTTCTCACATTCTCCTACTACCGGTATTGCTGCTTGCCGCCAACGCTACTGTTGCTGCTGCTGCTGCTGCTGCTAGCTCCGTTCATTGATGTTATTACCTTTTTTCCTTTTTCCTTTTTTTTTTTTTTTGGCATCTGGGATTGGAGTATGGGGTACGATAACTTGGACATTAAGAGGGGAGGGTGGGGCTTTCTTTTCCTTCTATCGTTCTTCTGTTTTATAGGAAGTGTGTTTTGATTTTTTTCCACCCTTTTTCACAATACTTATATCAACTTGCATACCGTACCTTTCTCCGACACCACCACCGTCACCACCACCTTCTCCTACCTCTTCTACCTTCACCTTCTACGCGCGCTGGGGAGGTCCCTACGCTCCATTTTTCTTCCTTCCCCCTTCTTTTCTTCCTGTGTCTGAATTATCCTTTTTCCTCTACCGTGAACTAAAAATGTTCGTAACTCTTTTCCTCTTCTGCCATTTATTATACGTTCACCTGCTTGGCCCCATCGTGTGGATGGGTTCTATTTTGCTGTCTGGAAAAGAAAAAGAAATCAAAATCAAAATCACAACGTCCAACCATCCTTTAGAGTTTCCTCTTTTTTATGGTTTGTCCCATTTTGTCCCGTTTCTGTTGCTGGCGCTGCATTGGGTTGCGTTGGTTTGAGTTGAGGATATTTCCTTTTTTGCTGGTCGGCTGGCTGGTGTAGGAACGAAAAACGGGCATCGTATATGTTGTGACAGTCCGGAGTTGTCTGTTGGGGAGCAGGGAGGAATCAAGGGAGGTTTCTATAAGACTAAGGAAGAATGAGAAGGGCAAAAGGAATGGCAAGAAGGGAAGAGGGAAAGGGTGGGAATGAGGGTTCACAGGTTGTATAATAATATTATGTAATTTACTTTTTTTCTTTTTTTTCTTTTCCACCTTCATTGCCGGTATACTTCCCCCCCTTTTTTTTTCTCTCGTTGCCATTTCTTCTTTTTATAGTCTACATATGATACCTCTCCCCCTTGGTCCGCGGTACGAGCCGTAGATATAGACCTGCCCAAGTCAATCAGATCGAGTCAAGTTCTGTCTGTCTGTCTCAATAAATGGTAGGTATAATAGAACGACACCGAATTCTACCAACTAATCAACCCACCGCTCATGGCAGTCACCCGGGAGATGGTAGTAGCGACAGGTACTGTACTGTACCGTACGACAGAGTTGAGATATTCAAGCTCGTTCCCATGATGCTGTATTATATCACATAATTCATGCCAATCAGTCATAGAAGCAGGTACTGTACCCATCCGGCACCAAGGTATAATAGTAAGTATCAACCACCAGGAAAACCCCCGGCGAGCCAGCGCTCGGACCACTCCCGTTCCGGATAACCCCTCCCTCCCGCATACTGACTGGTACCGTACGTCCCTAAGTTAGTCACGTTCCGTATCGTATCGTATCGTATCGTATCGTATCGTATCGTACTGAGTTTTTCCAATTGATCGTTTGTCCGTACGGTTACGCGATATGACGGTGGGTTTTGTCTTTCTTCTAGTAATAGCTTAAGTCTATTTAGAGCTTTTTATTTTTTTATAGTGGGGGGTATCATACTATATGTAATCCATCCACATGTACTGTACAGTACAGTACGATAGATAAATGTTAAAGTTATCATTTATTTATTTTTATTTTTTGGAATTGTACTACTATTGTAGTAGTAGAATACTGTGGGGGGGGGTAGGATGATCTAGATTGTATGTATCATTTTAGTTATACTGTGATGCTCCGTCATTCAGATCGTGCACGCCCGGCTTTTTTGTTGTTAGAGGGTTGATTGAGAGATTGATTGCTGTAGATATTGAGTATCTATCTTATCCCATCCGTAATGTGTTATACTGAAGCTGGACTGGGGGGTTTCCCTTTCTTGGTCGGTGGCTTTGGGGTTGTTCTAGTTGTTTTTTATTTGTATGATAGGAAGGAAGGAAGGAAGGAAATGCTCATTTACTAGGCCAGTATCGTCATGCTTTTTATCTAAGGTATACGGTTACTCTTTTTTTTTTTTTCATTTCGTAAATGTCACTAAGATACAATTACTTATTCTGGGCACGTTACTTTTGCATTGTATCATACCATAAAAATAAACTAAAAAGAGTCACTGGATGGATGAGTATGATATATTCACCATTTCTTATCTTATCTATCTTCTTATTCCTTCTGGGTGGGTTGTCTGACTGACACCGAGTGACGGACCGAGATTCCGCATTGTGTGGGGTTTACGGATGCGTGCTGGTTAGTACATACGATAACTGTGCTCTGCGCCACTTTTTCCATGCGCTGTCTGTCCTCGGCGACGGCATCACCGGCGCTCGAACATGGCGGGAGTTATCCCCTTTTTGGTTCCCCGTCTACTGTAGTACGTTCTAATTAGCACAATAAATGGGCGGGTACCGGCAGTGGTGTTGCGCAGTACGGGTGCGTGCTCCCACAGCGACGGGATAAGCCCTCGGATTTTCTAATGGTAGTTTCGAGCTTGTCTGGCCCACTTGCCTCATCGTCGGCTTGATTTAAGTGGGCGTGGGATGGAGGTTGGTGTTATGTTATGGTGAGATGCCACGGGCATGTGTGGGGTCTACCTGGGTTCCTGTTCTTGGGCGTGGTGGTGGTAGAGTTGGGGATTACCGTGCTGGTGGAGAGTACTGTGGAAAGAAGGGCACAGGAGAGGGGAAGAGCTGGATAATGTGGTGGACGCTACACCCCTGTGCACTCCTGTGTAATTGAAGGAGGAAAGGAAGGAAGGAAGAAAGATGCAAGATGTATATAGGATATATAGGGAGAAAGAAACCCAGAACACCTTCGCTAGTACGTGAATGGAATGTGGGAATACCGCTAGCACCGAAGATGAATGCGGGGGATCGTGATTATGATACATGTCAAAAAAGAGAGGGAAGAAGAAACGGGTATCGCGGGTTTGCCTGATGGTCTGCACATACTTTGTGCATCGCCTACCGAAAGTATGCCTCCGTTCCGGTTGGGCTTTCTCGCCACCCCTTTCACGTATCTAGGGGTCCCTTTGGTGTTTGTTTTTTCACCTTTTCCTTTCCTCCTTCACTCCGCCCGCACCGTGATCCCTTTTTTTTTTTACCCCGCCGTAAGGGCCCATCTGATTCCCATCTTATGCCGTAGTATTCCTCTTCTCCGACAATTTCTTCGTGGCTATACCCCGTTCAATTAGCCCTTCCCTCCCAACTAACCAACAAACCCGACGACCCTAGATATCAAATCCGAGGAGACCAGAGCAAAACCTACCGCCCAACCACTCATCACTCTTCCCAACCTGCCCCTCCTTCTCAGCGTGACCAGCAACCCTTCTCAGATCCGCGGCCTGGGGCCCACGAAACCACTCCACGAGCGCATCCACAGCCTCCGTATCGTCATCGCCGGGATCGTTGAATATGTTTATCGGTCGGAGGAGACCGACGTGCTCCATTGCCATACGGGCGTCTATTAACTCTGCCTGTGTGCGGCCACCGGATTCGGCAAAGTTGCGGGTTGTGGTGCCTAGGAGGGTGAGATAGCGGGCTAGGAGATCTAGTGATTGTGTTAGCCAGAGGTGGAGCAGGGGGAAAGGGGGAGGGGAGGGATAAACCTGTGAACGCGTCGACGACGGAGGGCTTCGCTGCGGTTATGCCGGCGGAGCGGAGTGTTTGCGCAGCGGATACTCGGAGAAGGGTGAAGTAGACTTCTGAATCTGTCATGTTCTTTTTTTTCCTTAAAAAAGGGCTCACTCAATGGCGCTTGATTCCTTCCTTCTTGTGGTGTATACTAGCTGGAGGAACGGACGAGGGGTGAATCAGGTATCGTAGGTTTGTGCAAGATATGTCGCTCGGCAGGTATGATACAGGATACTTGTAACAATGAGACAGGGAAATCCTAGACCTGGAGCGCACTCGCAGACACCAACCGAAGCTAAATCTATCACGTGATCGATCCACCCTAACCCGATAGTACGATACGATTTCGATACCGTAAACTACTAGCAATCGGTACGGTAGAACCCTTATCTAACCATACGGTACGGTACAAGTATCATACCCTAGCCCAATCTTTCCAAGATCAAGTATCATGTAGTCGGGATATCCATCTTTTACCAACCCACGCAGCAACCCAAACAAATTCTAAAAATACATAACAATAATAATATTATCATTTATATTATCTCAATACCCAGGCATAGAATGATACAAGACCACGGTCTGGCACGGCATGGTACCGGTTCCTCATACACAACCCCAAGCTGGACAATGGACCCAATCCCACGACCTATTATACGGTTATCACGAACCACCGCCACAGACCTCAAGCTGTCCATGGTAATGATATCATACCTATCGTATCACATCATTACCAGAGAAATACAGTACTGTATCATAATCCAATTTGCCTTCTCCTTTCCTCCTTCCAACTGCAGTGCAAATATACTTCCCCCCCCCCCCCCCGCGGGGCCCCTAAAGAAAAAAGAAGAGGTAAGTAAAGTACCCTACCAAATCGTTCCGTACGACATGAGTTTTTACACCAAATATGGCCAAAAATCAACATTTTCAGAGCCACAATACCCACCACTGCCTCCTTAAAAACAACTAAATTTTTGCTATTGGGTAGGAAATCACTTTGGCCTTACCCTCATAGAAGCATGAATAAAAAATGATGAAATTGAG